AAAAAACATTCACTCGTTGCCCAAGTGGCGCTACCTTAACCCCGCATTTACGAACCTGTCCGAAGCTCCAAACTAAGGTTAGATGTGGTTGCAGACTTGCATTATGTTCGAAGGGAGTAGTTTGAAGCAGAAAAAAAGAATTGATTTTTTAGCTGTGACAACTGCGAAGTCGCTTTGGGGTGTACGTGTAGGCTAACTGTGACGCAGGTACCACGGCCACGGAGGTGAATCCGCCAAATATAAACGACGTGGACATCAAGGGCTAACAGCAGGCAACGGCCAGACCTCTTGGCCAGAGGCAAAATCCCCGCAGGGGTAATAACCAGCTACCAGGCCCATGTTGGTCAGCGCGCGCCATCCGTCCACCAGTCATTTGACAATATCTGACCGAAGCGGGTTAAGTAATTGAACAATAAGTATCCTGTGGCTGCCCGGTTAAGTTTCAGAGGAACGATGTGCGGGTCACTGGCGTTAACTAACTGGAAGAACGAAGACTTGCGTACCGCCCGGATATTAATTTATACGTCAAAGGAGAAAAACGTTTATGCGTGGTTGTTCGTTTCTTTGGAAATTACTCGCAGATGCAATAAAAGTAGTTTTAACGTTTTTCCTTAGTGCATTAAAACGCAGCATTACAGCAAAATGTTTTAAGACAACCGATTGGGCATAGGTTTTTATTTATCTGAGTGGATAAGACTTTTCATTGCACACGTGATACACGTGATACACATGCACAGATACATAGGCCAATTACGTTGTAACAAATGCCATGAAAATGAACAGTCAATTTACATACATTAGAAACTGATACTTGTACTGTGGGGAGCTATATATTCAGCCGCAAGCCCTGGTTTTGCTCGACATCTTCGGCGATTTGTCGTTAATCGGGGCATGTGCAATACATCAGAGACCAAATCGCCATATCCCAACGGCAGTAGATAATAGTTTGTCAACAGATCTACTTCATACAGATGTTCCACTGATAAATAAGAGGCGATAGAATTATCAGGGAAGCAATGGCTTGAATAATTAAACTTCGTGGTATACTTCCTGTCATAAAGTTATTACCTTATGTTACTTGTAAGACTGCCGTCCCTAAGCTATTTAATCAATCTAGGAGAATTAACCCTCGTCTTTACTATTTTCAGCATATTTGCATTCAGTTTTTCTGTTAGATTGATATTGCGATGACGTGGGAAATGAGTCGAGGGTAGGGACTGCTCAAAGTCAAACTGCGCCGCACGATTCGCTTTTTACCTAAAGCGACACACCTGCTCTGAGAGATTTACGGATCATAAGAACAAATACTAACAGACGCACGCCTTAAGTGACAGTCCTTTGCCAATACGAGCAAACATGCAAGTCCCAGGAAAAGCAGATGCGAACGCTGGGACAAGGCCTTTATTCGCCTGACGTTTCGAACTCGGTTGCGGATCCTTCATCAGGAACATTAGCAGAAACGGGGTATTCATGCGCAGGGAAGCGCACTATTTATAGTACAGTCACTATTCTACTGCACACATACGACAATGGAGGACTTCCCCTTCGAGGCCAATTAGCCGCTTGTGGCGTAACATTTTAATGAACTGCACGAGTACGAACTTTTGACAAGCTCCAAGTGAGTGTCTTCTTTGGCCTCTTACTCGCCCAATATTATCCAGAAGTAGTCTGGAACGAAAAAAAACCAATAAGTTTCCAGCTGCGACGATTTTAAAAGAGGACGCCTTGGGGGTCAACAGGTAGAGAAGCTCTGATGCAATTACGACGTCCGCGCAGAAGAACCCGCCATCATAAAGCCACGGAGAAATCGAAGGCTAGCAATCCGGCTAACACAGAAAAAGCTTCCTGAACAATATGATGCGTGCAACCAAGGAACTCCTCAAAACGTCATTACTGGGAAAGGTTACTCACTCTTCCCCCTACTCCTGCCTTTTCATTGTTTTCTGTGAAGGTATATGAACGCCGCGAGCCACAAAAATGCTACATCTCATCCATTTCGGGCGCCAGCAGAAACACGATGCATACTGTTCATTTTCAATGGACGCCTCTCCTGTCAGGGCGTATTACCTCCTGAGAACATAATGCGCCAACTTAAATGAAATCTATCAAAATGAAGTTTACTAAGAAAGTGCATATGAATGTTAGGCTTGATGCTCATCAGCCCTGCTGTGAAAACCACGTAATATTTGCAAACTGCCTAGGTGCGCTCAGTAATACGCAAATGTTTCATGATTCACATAGCCGCAGCCTAGCTACGGGTTTAAAATGTTGTTTAACACTTTACCACGACTGTGTGGTGGCAATTTCCTATTGTGTATAAGTTTTGGCTGGTGTTAGCGGTGACATAATTACTGGCCGCTACGCAAAGGTCTGCAAAAAACCTAAGGGAATTTAGAAAGCCCAAAGAACAAAATATTCGTTCGGGATTAGCAGAATGGTAAATGACCTTTCCAGGCAAGGTATACATGTTTCCGATTAGGTGGCGCACGTCTGCCTGGCAACTGGACGTACCCGTGCCGCCCTCATGGGTGCTCAAATAGCAACAACTAACACACATAGGTATTACAGTAATAACTAAAAAAATCAATTGAAAATAGCATTGCCGGATCCGTGACCACCAATTCGCCGTCATTAATATTCTCGATCACGACCGACAGGCCAGTGCGTCCATGGTTCATTAGTAGGGCCTTTGCCTCAATTATCTAAGATCCCATGTAAGAAGCCCGTGTGGTTTACACTGACGATTAAGGATTGGCTGGCTGATAACGGCTATTAAACCGAAAACTGCCGTTCTATTCTCCTCTGTCGCCTTCTGTACTCCATTATTTATTCATATACCTACTAAAGCAGGTTAGGTTATCAGCTTCCGAACTTAGGAAAAAAATGAAATTATGGGGTGATCTATTACCTAAGGAATCAGTCCCACCGCATTGTTTAATTTCTGTTGACGGCCTAGTCTAAAAAGCGCATAATTGCATGTGATAATGGCTCCACCATAAGTATCAAATTAGGGTCCAAATGCACATTTCGCTAAGTTTACTGGTGATATAAGCAGGCCTATATCATTACAATCTGTGCAGCGGGACTCGAGCGTAAGCCCAAAAGCACAACGGTGAGCGCCTATCTGCTTCTGTGTATATTTTCTAATGAAACTGGCAAGGCAACTAGATCGTGGCACAGTGGTTAGTGCGTGGAACTTCCATCTAACAATGTCGCATGTTCCAAACTCGGCTGTCGTTACCTCTGGGATTGCGTCGGACTAGCTGATGATGGCTAATGAGCCAGAAATGGCTATTCCAGTATCCGTAGCGTTTGCCGTTATTGTCATTCTGTCTACGTCCTTAAAAACTCTGTAGCGCGGCTCGAGACTGAGTCCGAAGGCATAAAGAGACGAGTGAGCTCTGTACTGTACTGCCTAATCAAGAAAAAAAGGAAATCACATCGTCCATCGGGATACGAATTTCCGCAAAAACTTTCCAAATTCCCTTCTGGAAAAACAAGAAACTATCAAAAGGAGGCTTAAACTAGTTTTCCTAATCTTTTAGCTGGAATCAAATGCTCGCGATGGTGATCAAACTGATGATGCGGGGTTTGGATGACTCTGTTTTGTAGGCGGTCACTTTACAATTGAATATTGCGGCTGATTCCTACACTGCGATGACGCGTCTGCATATACGTTAAGTATACGTAGTGATTTTATGGCCGATACTGTGATCACCTTGGCTCGATAGCACGCCTTGTAATGTATGCCTCAATCTAATCATTAAAGAAAATTTCATTTTACATGAGGAATGGTGATGCTCTAGCCCCGTCCGAGAAGCTGTAGGATATGAGTTGCCAAAGCGTACTCCTAAAGAAGAGGATTTTGATACATAGGACCGCTGCACTGGCATTAAAAAGAAATGCCGAATTTTCCCTTCTGTTCTCCACAATGATTATTGCTTGGGTAACAAAAGTCGTTTAGTGCCTAGGCTGTTTGCAGCCTGTTTTCGAACCTCCTTGAGTTTATGGGCAATGTGTATAAGCAACTTGTGTTACAGGCGCCCAATATGTCAGCATTGTTTTTTATCACATATTTATAGTTTGCGGCGTTTGCTGATTTCTTTTTACAGAGAATTGTGTCCGTGGCCGCCAAGTCGAGCCTCCCTGTTGGTGTAGTAATCGATCCTCCAGGAATGCTTGACCCCGATTACCTGGATGCCCTCCAAATATGTGAATTAGTTCTAGGGTAATTTGGAGCCCATGTCCAGTAAACCAGGGCGTGCCTGGGCGGACGATCCTGTATCCCAGTCGTACCATTTTAAACTG